AATTACCTTGATCTGTGCTGGGAGCTACGTATCATCTTCTCAGCTAGAGAGCCTATATTACACTTCTGCAAGCATAAGCATAAATTCCTGGACTCCGCCACGTTTACTTGTTAATAACCAGCGTAGGAAATGTTAGGACTACGTTCCCTTATTTGTGAAGCCATTCACAGTGCTTCCAGGCACATTAAAAAGTTGACCAATGATGTTCTGATATGATTCTATTTATGCCAGAAATTGGTATCATTCAAAATACTGGTTCACTAGGGATTTTAAACAAAGACACTGTTAAATGTGGGCTTATTGTTTTCTGTTATTAAAAAAATGTACAATGCCTAGTGAGTTTGATAAGAGTCTTTTAATTTAGTCAGTGTAAATAAACAGCTAAAAATAAAGGCCCCCTGTGGAATTCCCGCATCCGGCAGTCTGTCAGAGGTGCTGTCAGTAGTCATACTCGCGTACTTCACGCACAGGGTTTTCCTCGGAGTATAGATCCCACAGATCCTATTTCAGCACCAGATCATCTAAGAATTACTTTTCATAGGATCTAGAGGTGCACCAGATTTACATCAGTCATTCAGTTTACATAAAGATATTTGAGACTAGGGATTCCATCATTGTTCTGAGGTTTTCCTTAACAAAACATAGGAATAAGAAGTAAAAAAGGCTCATAAAAATGAAGAAATTGATGAAAACTTTTTGTTTTTGTAAAAGAAAAAGCTATGTTCCTAAGAAAACATATGAAAGATTTTTTTTTTAATTCTAAATTCAGATTAAAATGAGCCATATCACAGGGAACTTAAATAAAGTCAAATTTCGTGCTAAAAAGTCATGCAGAAATCTTCCTCTGTTATTCCCAACAACACATTAACTTTCACACCCAGGTATGAGCCTTGGGATATCATAAAAGTGTCACAGCTGCTGGTAGCCTTTTAAGCGTAAATATTAACATCTGGAGAATCATAAGAGTTATTAAAAGATGGTTAACATAAAGGTTCAGAAGTTTTGGTCAGAGAGACAACACGTATGTTTTCTTTCATTGAGTCTTACAGTATATCGTCTATTTAAAAGGTGACTGATGTCAGAACATTGTTCATAATAAAGATTAAGACAAAAATAGATTTCTGATTGCTGTTGGATCTTTGAAACTAGACATCAGGTTCCTGGGTAAAAGCAGTTGTAATACATTTACATGTGTTACATTTCAGATTCAAATCTGGCAAACTGTAGCTTCAGCTCAACCTATTAAAAGATTAAGTTCATATTTTATTATCAGAGAAGAAGGAGTTTCAGAAGGATTTTGTACATTTGACTGATTTTCTCAGGAGCTTTGAGAGGATAATGTCTTTTGCAGCCTGCTCTGAGGAGAAACACAGTGTTGTGTGCATACGCGAGATGCCAGGACTTAGACCTGGGCAAGCTGTGGGCTGCGGTACCTGTTCAAAGGCTGTGTCCGTTCCAGCTAGCAGCTGCTCAGCCTGGCCTTGGAAGCTCCCTCTGAGGCTGTGTCTACAACAGACGCAGTTCTCTGATAGACTGTAAACTATTTAATGCTTGAGAAACTTTCTCACGCAAAGTATGGTCAATGGACCTTGTAAGACATCAGGAAGATGAAGAGATGGACAAGACTCAGAATTAGCTGTTTTTGTGGGGTACCCAGAATTGTAAAAAAAGAAAAAAAAAAAAAGAATCAAAATATTCAAGAATTTTGGCAGGAAAACAAATTCTCATGCTTGTACTTCAGAAGAAGAACTGGTAAACAACAGCAATGGGGAAGTGTTTCTGGACAGCTAATTCCAGGACTACAAGTTTTACTCTATATTGCCTAAAGCAAATATTACAATAACATTGAAATTATTTATATTAATTTTAATTACTCATGTGGCATTACTATTACTATTGTAGATTTTTGTAGCAACTAGCAATAATATTTTATAGAGATAAGGTGGCTTCACTGAAGTGCTGGACTCTTCAACATTAACGGAAAAAACCCTCAAAGAGCGGCAACATCAGTTCTAGCTCATTGGAAATGGAAACCAGGCTGAAGCAAAGGAGGATAATTCATATACATTGGATTTCATCCCAGTTCCTAATTTTCCATTTCTATGGTATCTGTGGGAACTGGTCTCAATCCAGTTCCCATGGTATTTAAAGAACTGCTTTAAATAATGGATATATTTCTGACAACATATTAAGAGGAACATTTAAGAGAAAAGAAGGTACCTCAGAGAAGATGGTCAAAATCTTTTGTGCCCTTCTTGAGATCAGATTATAAATCTTGGAACAACGAGGCTTGTTCTGCTGCAGCTGCTCTCCAAATCCATGGAAATATAAAACCAGACACTACTGTAGCTTCACATATAAACACAGAGTAACTCCTCATCAAGACCCGAAGTATATATAAGCAGAACTGATGAGATGAGGAACTGTCAGTCAGACAGTCAGAGGACAGAGCAATGGCCACAGTGCACAATTTTGCATTTCAAAATATGTTCTTGTTACAATCTAAGCCTGCAGCACATTTTTGTCATCCAGTGATGATTTTTGTGGAAATAGAAGCAGTGAGAAATCTTTGTAATAAATGCATGATACCTTGAGTGCTGCAGTCCAAGCTATAGCAACCATGCTTTTATGTGGGTGGAATCACAGAGGCAACAGTGCTTTCAGTATTGGAAAGCTTTAGATGCCCGACATATTCTAGGGTGCAAATCCTTCTGCTGCCACAGAGACCACCATGCTAGAATCATACAGGAGTAATATATGGCTCCTTTCAAATTACACATAAAGAAAGGATTTAATTATTATAAAAAACAAAAATGCAAAAAAATATATTCAGCTGAGAACCTATCAGAAACTTAGATCTATTGTTCCTGAAGCAAGGTGAACTTTGGAGTTGAGAACTTCCTCTGCATATATTTGGCCAAAGGAAGATCTATGCAACTGAGCACTACAGACGTCGAAGAAGTTGAGGGTCAAACCAATACCCCAGCCTTAAAGCCTTTGCTACGCCTGTCACTGCATGTATAAAGCAATGTTAAGGATATGGCCTACAACCAAGAAATAGTCTCACACCAACCTGCTTTAACTGATTACATATTCTTGCCATCATATCTCTACTTTTTAAATAAACAGTAGCAAATGAAATACGATATGAGGACCTCAGTGATATGACTGCAACTGGGTTGAGGATGATGGGGTCAGAAGTGGTTTCTTCAGCCTACCTAAAATGGGAGGCAGATTCTTTGAGCTGTGCTCCTCTTTACCAGAGGTATTTATCATGAGAATCAGAGAGTAAAGTGAGCATATGAAAACTAATGAGCTGCAAAATACAGCATGCCAAGTAGAGGAAAGGAGAAAAGAAGCTGTGTGAAGATCAGATTGCTTTTCTGGAACACTTCCTGCTGTCTCAGTACATCTTACTTTTACGCTGGTATATTAGCTCTGACGGCATGAGTCAAAGTGTCTGGCAGCTCTCATGCCAAGAGAATTACAAGTGGTTTTACGAAAAAGAAGGAGAAACTGAATCTCTTCCTCTTCTGTTGTTAGGTTTTATTTTTAATAGTAAAAGCAGCAGCAACATTAGCATGGAATACCTTCTTCATACAAGAAAATTCCAAGGTAATAGCACAACATACAGGGGCCTGAACCTGTAGTCCTTATAGCAGCAAAACCTTCCGTTCTAATCAGTGAGCTTTACACTCATCCAAAGGGGTAGCAGAACCTGCCAAACAAAGTTCTTAGAATGCAATTGTAGCCCTTAATGTGAGCAATAAACAGAGCAGTTTGGAAAGCAACATTTTTACAAAGTGGCATTATCCACAGCGAGAGAGCTTACATTTAGTTTGACAGTAATCCACCTGATTTACTGACACTCGGTGCTATAATGATATCTGTCAATGGCAATGCAGGAATACCTGGATTTCCAAGCAATTTATTGTAATAGAAATAACCTGTTTCTTGTGAGTACTCACCACCCTTCCATCTGCTGAACATTTGGAGTCAGATACTTTCCATTCAAATTGGATCAGACACTAACTGCACTGGGCACAAAAGAAGTGCTAAAGCCAGCTACTCCTGCTTTGCAAAATTTGTCCCAGACAAAAGTTAAACCCCTCTTCCACTTATGATATTTGACATGCTCTGACAGATGATTTTTTAAAGGCTCTTTTTTATGCCCCTCAAACTCGACTACTCTGATTTTTTGCAGTGAGTTAAAAAAATTGTGAAAGTGAACCACTTTCAGTGAGACAAAAATCTAAATATTAACAATAATGGCAAGGGGGTATTTATAGGATTGCAAAATATCCACTTTAGCCTTTAACAAATTTAACTATGTTCTGGAGAAATTTCTTACTATCCCACTGTACTTTTTCTTGGAGACTTATTATCTGCCTTTGCTGTGTCATTGGAACTCTAGAAGTACACTAACTCATTTGTTGCAGTCCAGTCTTTACAGTGACGCACTGATTTTAAATGTAGGTTTTCCAGAATGCCAGTGGGGCCAAGATCCTTCTTTACATAATTTAGTCGATTTAATTTTCTTTTAAATGCCTCACATCAATTCATGAACTTTTGGGTTTCTGTCTAGATTACCTAATAGGTTCTTAAGCCTCCTCTAGGAATGCAAAGACTGGCATATAAAAACACAGTGTGGTGGTCTCCTGAAAGATTAGAGTTTTAATAAAAGATTTTTTTGGTGCCTACATAACATAGGCCTGAGATCTATCTGTAGGGTGCAGCCTGTCACACTCTGGTATTGCTCAGGGCTAGAATCCCAGCTTTTAAAACACACGGAGACCTTTAGTTTCTTTTATAAACAGATATACAGTAATAGTAGCTGCTCTGATGAGGTCTTACAGTAAAAGAGGACTGAAACCACTCTTCTTCCTAATAAGGATGCATATTTACCTCTTTTATTTCCTTCCCTGACAGCCTTTTATTTTGCAGCTGGCTCTCTTGCCATTCATTAAAAATGTACAGAAAATGTGGTCTACTATATGCCACTCATACACATTTTAGTATTTTTGCAAGTATGGCTCCAGATAGGCTCCCTTGATTAATTGGGTTAATGCTGGGCCTTGAGAAAACAACTGTGTTTTATTCCAGGACAGATCTAACATATTTATGTCTTTGAGTTTTAATGCAAAACAAAAGTTTTTGAACATTAATACCTGACGCTGTTTGTGTCTCAGCTGGGATATATATAACTGAATGTATCTATTGTTTACTAATGACTAACACGTATAAATATTTATATACTTTCTAATGATTTAATACCACAAGCTAGCAAAATGTGATATAATTTTGTGCTTTTCACAGTAGCATTGGAACCGATTTAAATATTGGAACGAAAATGGACCCTTTTTTTCTATAATGCTTCTTAATAATAAAGTAGAATGATGAGGTTTGGGAAGGGCTTGGGAGCTTTTGTTGGTTTTTTTTTTTAAACAATTGGCATTGCATGTTTTCTGTGGCAAGCAGGTTTTTTTTCCACCCTACTTTTATTTTATTTCCTTCTTTGTTGTCTCGGTGCAGATGTGATTACCAATGCCTAATTCCAGAAGGCTTCTTTAATGCATCTTACTGCACTGACCAAAAAGAACGTGCTTTGCTAATAAACATTCACAAGAGTACAAAATTAAGGGGTCATATTTTCACTTTTTGCAGTTCTGCAGCCCTCACATTGACCATGTGTAAAATTTTTAAATTCTCTGACTTTTGACCTAACACCTACTACACTGCTGAATGCAGAACATTAGGGATCTGGCAAAAAAAGTTTTTCAAGGATGCTTACAAGCTTTTCAGACATTTATTGCTCAATCATTTCATGTAGCTCTATGTGGTGACTTAACAGGATTATTGCAGATTTGTTCAAGCTTCAATTCTATTATTTTTGGAGATACGGAATATTTTTAATTATTCATGGAAGGCTTAAAATTTTAAGAGATTAACACATTTTATCTGCCTTACTGTAATTATATTTTAAATGATTCCATAAATAAACACAATAATTGTGTGAAAAGGCTCTTATTAGTCTCAAGTGATCATTACAAGACTGAGATACACAATTAATTTTTCAATAGGACACAGATAAGAGATAGAACTCTCAGTAGCTTATGTCACCCACCATCAGTGAACTATCATTCCTTTGTAATAAGTACTTCTCCAGCGACAGCAGGTTTTAGTTAACAGTATTGTGATAAGAAATGACCCGAAAGACAGCTCTTTGGTTCAGTTAAAGCTCATTTCTAAGAACCTACAGCTGTCTGAAGAGCAATGCCTGTGGGAGCTGCCGGCAGGCGTGATGAAGGCACTGCAATGCCTCTCCCTGTGGTTCCTATGGTTTCTTTGGGGTAAGTGAGCTGGTGCAGCCTCTTAGCTGCCAGCAGCCCATTCCAGGTTCCCTCTCAGTTCTTGAGTGCTTATTTTTTCTGTTACTCACATGAAAGAGACTCTTCCCATGGAAAGAAAGAAGGGAGGTGCATTGTTTCAAAATGATGCAAACATTCCAGGAAAAAGATAACTGTACGAAATCCAATAGTTATTTGTCTCCGTATCTGGGTCACTTCAGAGAAAGAACAACTGTTTGACACCTTCTCTTAATTTACATGGAGTATAAAAAGAGCGGAATGAGGGCCACTAGTACAATTCTTAAATCACATGAGGGATATATCTGGTGTATATCATCCAAAAAATGGGACTAGGAGCATACTGAAGCCAAGGTGAGAAGAATAAGGTTAAGGATATTATGAATATTTTCAACTTAACAATAGTGTTGAAATTTGAACTTGGTTATTGCATCATAAAAATATACTATAGGAGGTACACAGTGATTTTCCCATAAAATGTTTATGTGAGAGCAAGAGCATAAACTATATGACTTATCCTAAAAGAACAATATTAAAGACTCACAGATACATATTGCAATGAAAGAGAATAAGTAGTTAATTCGTATTTCTGTACAGAATTAAATGTATGAGTATATTAAAAATCATATCTTGTATATAGAGCTATAGAAGAGAAAGGTACAAATCCTAAGGCAGAAACCTGTTCCATAGCGAATTGTTATATACTTAACATGTTAGTTAATTTCTTTGACCTAATCCCAAACTGGCATAAAAAAGTCACTGCTATAAAAAGGCTAGAATTTCTTCTCAAGCTTCAGCTGACACTATTATTACATAACTTGGCCATATTGTCTAAGAAAATAATTTACTTGCATCAGTCTTCTCATGTGCGTGGGCTATTTATTGCCAGTTCACCACTGTTTTAAATGGATTTAACAAACTGATTGTACAGCATAAAAAGCTGTCCCTTTTTCCGATTAAGCTGTTAAATAGCTCATGC